TATCCTTTCAAAGAACTAGCTTTTTGTTTCATTGATTTTTTTGTATTATCTTTTTGTCTTCTGTCCCAGATTTGGGCTTTTATTTTGGTGATCTGGATTCTTCTGCTGAAGTTAGAATTTTGGTGGCCTTGCTTTTCCAGCTTTCTTAGGTGACTTGTTAGGCTGTTAATTTGTGATCCTTCCATTTTCTTCATGTGCGTTTGTAGAGATATGAATTCCCCTCTTATTACAGCTTTCATGGCATCCCAGAGAATTTGATAAGATGTTTCTTCATTTTCATTTGTTTCCAGGCATCATTTAATCTCTGCTTTGATTTCATCATTGACCCAGGAGTTGTTTAGCATCATGCTATTTAGTGTCCCTGTATTTGTAGTTTTGGAGGGACCCTTATTGATGTTGATGTTTATTTTTATTCCACTGTGGTCCGAGAAGGTGCAGGGCAAAATTTCGATCTTTTTAAATTTGCTTATGCTTGACTTATGGCCAAGTATGTGATCAATCCATGTGGTGCTGAGTAGAGTGTATATTCTGTGGTCGTTGGGTGGAGTATTTTGTAGGTATCAATTAAGTCCATTTGGCCAAGTGTCACATTGAGGTTCTGGATCTTGTTGCTAATTTTTTTGTCCTGATGATCTGTCTAGGGTTGTGAGTGGGATATTAAAGTCCCAGCTATGATAGTGTTAGAGTCAATATCTTTTTTCAAGTTTACTTAGAAGCTGCTTTATGAAAGTTTGTGCTCCTATGTTGTGTGCATATATGTTTAGGATAGATATTTCTTGTTAATGGATTGAACCTTTTCTCATTATGTAATGAGCTTCTGTATCTTTTTAAATTTTTGATAGCTTAACGAGTATTTTGTCTGAGATTAAGATCACGACTCCTCCTTTCTTTTTTCTTCCATTTGCCTGAAAATTTGTTTCCCATCCTCTTACTTTGAGTCTGTGAGTATCCTTTCTAGTGAGATGAGTCTCTTGAAGGCAATATATATTGTTACCTGCTGATATTTTATCCATTTTGCTATTCTATGTCTTTTCACTGGTGCACTTAGTCCATTCACATTCAGGCTAATTTTGAAATGTGAGAGTTGATCCCTATCATAAGGTTCTTATAGAGTTGTTGTTGGTCCTCTTTGTTTGTTGTCTTTCTTTGAATTGAGGGTTGAGTTTGTGTGTTTTTAACCTTTTCCTGTACTCTTGTGAAGAATGTTGTTTTTCTTTGTTCCTTTTCTTCTGTTTTTAATACTTTCTTAAGTGTTTCTTGTAGAGGTGGTCTGGTGGCAGTGTAAGTTCTTAGGGATGGATATCTGGGAAAGATTTTAATTCTCCCTCACTGATGAAGCTTAGCTTAGCTGGGTAGGTTATTCTTGGTTGAAATTGTTTATCTTTGTGCACTTTGAAGATTGGGCTCCAAGGTCCCCTAACCTGAAGGGTTTCTATAGTTAAATATGCTGCTGTTTTAATTGGTCTTCCATGGTAGGTAATCTGACCTTTTTCTCTTGTTTCCTTTAGGATTTGTTATTTTATACCTACTTTGTTTTGGTGAATTATTATGTGTCTGCGAGTTGGTCTTCTCATTTGTTGTCTTGCAGGGGTTCTCTGAATCTGTTGTGTTTGAATTTTCACATCACTGATCAGATGAGGGAAGTTTTCTTGAATAATCTCATGGAATGTTTGTTTCAGGGTGGTCTCTGTCTCTCTTTCTGCCTCAGGAAGTTCAATTACTCTTAAGTTCAGTCTCTTGTAGTAATCACTCGTCTCTTGAAAGTTTTGTTCTGTCTTTTTTTTTTTTTTGAGTTGGAGTCTCACTCAGTCGCCCAGACTGGAGTGCAGTGGCCGCATCTGGCCACTGCAGCCTCGCCTGCTGGGCTCCGGCAATCCTTCCGCCTCAGCCTTCCGAGTAGCTGGAATTACAGGCATGTGCTACCACGCCCAGCTGATTTTCTGATTTATTGCAGAGATGAGGTCTCGCTACCCATGTGGGTCTCGAACCCGTGGGCTCAGGCAATCTACTCACCTCAGCCTCCCAAGGCGCGGGATTACAGGCTGAGCCACCGAGCCCAGCTTGTTCTGTCTTTTTAAGCTTCTTTTCTATGTTTTTGACAGTTTGGGTTAGTTCTATATTTTGGTCTTCAAATTCTGAGATTCTTCTGCTTGGCTAATTCTGCTTTCCATGCTTATCAGTTTGTTATTTATTTCATTCACTGTATTCTTTACTACTTTCTTCTCAGTTATCAACTCCTTGCTTGTTTCCTCTTGTCTCTCCTCAATTCTTTTTAATCTCTCCATTAATGTCTTGATATCTGGGTTTGTAGTTTGAGACCAGTCATTATGGGGATTATTCATTGTTTGCATTCCAAAGTCAGTTTTCTCAGTGTCTGAATTCTCAGGGGTCTGTGACAGACCCATATTCTTCTTTTGGTTTTTCTTCATTTGTGTAGATTTTCTCTCCCTCTTTCCCTCCCCTTCTTTAATTCTGTTTTTCAGGGAAGGTGGGGTTGCTTTTACTTCTTTTTGCTCAATCTCCTGTTTTTCCTTAGGAGGATCCTCTGGCTTTGTTCACTTTTGAGGCTGGACTGTGGATTGGGGGCTGTACTTTTTGCAGTTTTCAGATTTAATTGAGGGGGAAACTGTGATTCAGAATCTCTCTGCAGATCCCAGTATCCACCAACAGGTGTATGGCCACACTGGAACCCACTTCCCACTGCCTTACAATATATCCATGCAGTGGGGTTGAGGTTTGCTCTCTGGAACCAAAGGAGATAAGAAAAAGGAAAATAATGGAAGAAGTGAGGGTCAAGAGGAAGCTGGAGAGAGAGAAGACTAAGAGGGAAAACAGACATACATACTAAGTAATGAATGAAAAGAGACACAAGGCCAGAAAAGAGGAAAAAGCAAACAAACAAAGTTCCCTAAAGCATACCGGTAATCACACAAAGACAGTCCAATAAACTCATGCCTTTTGATGTACTTTCCCCCCAACACAAGCAAGTAGTCTAACTCAAAAAGCAAACAAAAGTGAGCAAAACAAACAGTCAATGCAATAAAATCAAAAATCAAAATAAGAAACCATATTAGCTCTGGAGTCTTTCCTGAGTGTCTAAAGTCTCTTCAGCTCTGATCTCTAGCCTCTCCCCTTTGCAGGCAGATAGACTTACTCATAGGTTGTGTTGGTTCCCTTGGCTTGCTGCCTGAGAGGTCTGTCACAGGACTGAGTTGCCTGTTTCTGATTCTGCATAGTGGAGGGCCTTTTGTCTCCTGTTTGGCGAAGGGTTACCATAGAAACCAAGATGGAGGCTTCTCGTAGATGGGAAGGGCAATGCAAATCTCTGCCTGGAAAATGGGTGCGGTGGGCAGCTCCTCTTCCACCAATCATTTCTCTCCATTTGTCCTTTCTCTCCACTCATCTCATCTGTGGATAGGGTGGGTAGCAGGTGGTGGCAGTGACTTTGGGCCCCCCACAGGGCACTTCAGCCAGGAATGGAGCTGGTATCTCTGAACGACAGGCGCCTAGAGCCTCCCTGAGTGAAGGTGGCTTGAGATGGGGCTGGGCGGGGACCCCGGAACCCAGGGTGGGGGCCCAGAACTCTGAGGTTCAAACACTGGCTGTGGCTTTGGGTGCTTTAGCCCAGGTGGCAACGCAGAGCCTGGAGGCACAGGTGTTGGGGGCCTATGTGGGCAGTGGTGGCCTTGGGCCTGATGGGTTGCCCCAGGAGGAAATCAAACCTATAGTTCCAAGGGGTGGGTATGGAGGGCCTCCCCAGGCTGCCACTGCCTGAGACTGGGCTGGGTGCCCCGCCAGGGAAGGAGCTGGCAGCGGCTGAGTGCCGGGAAGATCAGTGTAGCCAGCAAGGGATCCCAGAGCTCCACAAGGCCATATCTGAGGGCCTCCACAGGCAGTGGCGGGCAGCTTGGGGCCAGGTGAGGCGTTATAGCCAGGGAGGGATCTGGAGCTCCACTCGGCCAGGGCCTGGGGCCACTTGGGGTGGAACAGCAGTTGCAGAGGGGCCACGGTAGCCAGCCATACATGGGATCGAGGGTCTCCAGGCCTCAGACCAGTGCGGCTGGCAGTGGGCAAGAGAGGGGAGGAAGGAAAGTAAGAGTCTTTATGGGAACTCACTTTCGGAGAATCTCACAGTCCCACCTGTGCCATTGCCATCTTACCAGAACTCCGGAATTTCTACTTCTATAGCACTAGGGGTACATCCTGGGCGTAAAAAGTAAACAAAGGACAAAAAGATTATGTTTATAATGCAACTCCAGATAAGGCTATACTAGCAATTTGACTAGAAAACAGCATGCATCTTATACAGAGAAGGTATAAAGATTGTTTCCAGTGTGTCTCCTTTTGACTTCAAATTGGTTTCTCCACATTTGGAGAAAAACTTAATGACACATATGCCCAAAGCTGACAATTTCATTTTGATCAGAATGAGCTATGACTTGGTAGATCATCTATGAATTAAACAAGAGTGTCTTTCTTTGATAACACATGGAGACTTTGTAATAAAGAAACCTAGAAAGAGCACTGAAATGCAGCAAGTCCCAGCTCCATCACTTACTAAATGCATGGTCTTAGATAAGTCACTACCTCTCTAAACCCTAGTTCTCTCATCTATAAAAATGAAAATGTTGGTTAAACTATCTCTAAGGTTCCTTCCATCTAGAGATGTATAATATATAACAGTTACACTATATTCTTACATCATGAGAAATGGGAATCAATAAAAGTTATCATAAAACTGAAGGAATATAAACATGAATCCATAACTATTCATTTAAAAAATTATTTTGTACACACCTAAAATCACTTTACATAACACCAATAGTATAAGTAGTGTACATTGGGAAACATTGTTCTATAGCTATACTCTCCCCATGATTTAGGTAAATTTGTATCTATAATGAAAGAGATTTTTGTATTTATATGAAGATCTATTTTCTGAACAATGGGTATGTGTGGATGTGGATATGTGTCCATGTGTATGTGTTTTCTGTATCCAGATATTTGAAGAAGAGCACAGTGTTTTGTACCTGGATCAAGGTGGAGTCCTGGTTGCTATGAAACACACATCACTGCCAATTCGACATCTATGGTAAGGGCACTTGCTGCTTATGAGATGGGTACCTGGTGATTCTGCGCTGCTAAGACCAGTCTAGGAGTCAGGTCATCAAACTTTGTCAGCATTTGTAGTAAAATGTCAAGGTCTACTAGAGGGGTAAGTAGGAAAGGAGAGAGAGAGAGAGAGATGGAAAGGGAGAGAGATTGGTTTTGTCTCTGGAGAGAAATTGCATTGTGGTCTTCAAATGTGGCAATACCCTTACCTTATTCTCTTGGCACAATCACAAGGAGAACAATTTTCACAATCAGGTATATAGTCTTTGAATAAATTGACTTTTTGCAGTCACCTTTCTTCAATGGCATCTTCTGGAGATTAGTGTTTGTATTAATTATGTGCATTCCACACAGAGATGAGCAGTTCATGATAGTTCTGTTTCTATTCTTTTATTTTCATTCTGATTCTGCTTCTTTCATTTACTTTTTTGAGGTGACATCCTGCAACTCTGCCAATGAGTCTTCCACAATTAAATGTGCAAAACTAACTCTAGAGGGGTTTTCAATAGGTTTCTTCATCTGTGGTTTTGAAAGTGGCTTTCTCCTTATGTGAGCTTGTCCAAGGTCAAAAGCATAGTTTTCTTTCACTGTTAGTTACTTGGATGACCCATCAGAAAGCTACAAAAGAGAAGCAAGAGCTTACCTTGGTCAAAGCATCCATAGCGACAGTCAGAGCAAAAGAAAAGATTTTCTGTGACTGCCTTAGTCCATTTGGATTGCTATAACAAAATACCATCAACTGGGTAGCTTATAAACCAGAGGAATTTATTTCTCACAGTTCTGAAGCTGAGAAGTCCAAGATCAAGCTACTGGCAGATTTGGTGTCTGTGAGGGCTCCACCTGATGATTCATAGATAGTGTCTTCTTGCTGTGTCCTCACATGTTAGAGGAGTCAAGGCTCTGAAGCTCTATTATAAGGGCACTAATTCCTTTCAACAGGGCTCCACCTTTATAATCTACATACCTCCCAAAGGCTGTACTTCCTAATACCGGTATTGTCACATTGGTGGTTAGATTTTCAACATTTGAATTTTTAGGGAGAACACATGCTTTCATTCCATTACAGTGACCATCAAAACTGTAGATTTCTCTCCTTGCTCTCTATTCTTCTGGGCCCTTCATTCAATGAGGTTGATCAGGATTTATTACAGTGTAAGAAGAACATGCTTGGGATATGCTCACTTAGAGATGGGTTGGTTTTAATCTATTTAAGTTTTGCAAGGTTATCGTTCTTCAGGATCACCCATAAGGTTTGTTGTTAGATAGTTAGGTTTTTGGAGAGGGCTATATTAAGATCTAAGAGCTAATAAAATGTCAAAAAAATTTTAGAAAGTCAGAAACTTTTTATTCCTGTTTCATATAGCCCTCTCCTGAGCTGTATGATTTTTAAAAAACACATCTGGGTCCCAGTGGCTTGGCTATCTGATTTCTACCTTCTGGTATAATTAAGAACACTTATTTATATGAAAGACTCATTTTGACAATGCCCCAGCTACTTTTAAAATGTATTTTCTCTTGGTTGATAGTATGTTTCCTTTGAAAAGATGTTTTGTTTTGTTTTGAGATTTGATGACTGTTATTTTCTCTGTCATTAGGTTGAGTTTTGATGAAGGGAGATCTTGGAGCCAATACAGCTTCACATCTATTCCACTTTTTGTGGATGGGGTTCTGGGTGAGCCTGGAGAAGAGACTCTAATCATGACGTAAGCAGAAAACTAGGATGTGTTCCAGGCTTAATGTATGAGTAAATCCTTAAAAAATATGTGCTTTATAGCTGGCCTTGTTTGATTTGCTGCTGGTAGGTTTGAAGTTGTTAGCAAAGTCAGTGAATCTTACTGCAAAAGTACCCAGTAAAAAGGAAAAAAAAATGTAGGCAATCATTTTCTGCTTTGTTGATAGTTGTCAGGAGACCCAGACTGGGGATGGAAGCAAAAGGGTAAAACTGTTTTCTTTCTGTAATAAGTTGACTTAAAGAAATTAGAAATGATTATTTCAATAGAAAATTAACCTGTACATTTAAAACTTTAACAGTAAATAAACTGAATATGCAGAAAATCTCAGGCATATACAAGTGATTTCACTTTAAGTCAGAACACAGAGTTTTATCAAAATGCCACAGAGAATTGTATTTTTTTCCTGGCTCTTTACCTAACCCAATTGTAAGGAATATTACAAAAACAATGAGAACAATCTGTTCTTGTGAAATTGCATTTACACTCATTTTTGTCTGGAAACTGATGATCATTAATTTGTGAAAGACTTGATTAATGACTCAGCTGCCTATGGGTTCCAAAACATGGGCTTTGAATTTCAAATATGAATCTGTGATATTTCCTTCCTTTGGAAAACTGGACATGGAAAGCAGAAAGGGCAGGTTTTAAAGTAGTTGATCCTGTCATCAATGAAAATTTCAAAATCAAAGTGAATACTTGGCACATTTTCTAATTCTAACTCCTAATAGTTACACTTTTATCCATGAAAAACACAGTTAAATTAGCAATTTATTTCATAATTTGTCTTTATTCGGTTTTTGTATTTGCAAGACACAGATTTTAAAAAGCTAACCAGAAAGGCCTTTTTGTGACTTGTGATCACACCTGTGATTGGTGACTCGAACACCTCATTAAATACCTCAGTCTCTCTGAATAAGGAGAGTAAAATGCACAATGTAGGAACCAGTTATAACTACTTGACTCTGATGCCCACTTTTCCTGGGAACTGTTGGGAAGATAAAATAGCATTAAAACCACAGGAACCATGTACGTTAGCAAGAGAACCTAAAGTATAATCTTAAACCGCATAGAGCACAGCATTTGTGATTGTTTTCTCAGCCATTTTTAAAAAGCATTCCTGTGGAACAGTATTGGTGTACTAAAGTCAAACACTCTGGGTTCTGGTTCTTGTGGTTATGGTGACTTGTCTCTGATTTTTCCATGTTGTCAAAACTTGATGAACCTCAGGTTATCCATCTGTAAAATGAATTCAATAACAGTACCCTCCTCTTGAATGTGTTTTGGAGATTAAATGATATGATCCATGTAATATGCTTAGCATGTAGCAAGCTCTTGATAAACACTCCAAAGGTGCTAGCTAGCTATTGTTATTACTGGTGGCATTGTTGTCATTGTGATTATTTTTATCATCATGAACTCTGTAGAGTGTTTGGACACTTCAGCCACCGCTCTGAATGGCAGTTGGTCAAAGTGGACTACAAGTCCATTTTCGATAGACGGTGTGCCGAAGAGGACTACAGACCCTGGCAACTTCACAGTCAGGTAGGAGGAAAGAACTGAGACTGAACCTGGACAGGAGATTTGGGAAGTGTTAGGGAATGGCTAGTTGCTAAGATGTAGTAACTGGCTTCACTAAGCCAAAATATCCATCTAGTGCTTTCTTACATGTTTTGTGTTCCACAGTAGTGAACAAACTCAACATTTATAGCTTGTTGTGAAGTCATTTCTGTTTTTATTGTGCTGAGATATAGGGAGATAAAATTCAAATGTGCTTGGCTTCGACTTACAACTCAAAATGAAATACCAGCTCAGCACTGAGATCCAAACATAATTTATCTGAGCATGTCATATGGTTGCATGGTGGGGGTGGAGGTGAGGAAAAGATCTTCAGTTTTGTCTAGCAGTGCACACAGAGACATAAAATGACAAAATTATGCTGGGTGAGCAATGCCAGAAATATCCTTTCTCTCTATCACCTTGACTCCCTGGAATTATATAGTACTTCTTGCCTTCTTCCAAGGCACTCAATGGTACAAGAATGCAGAATTATTAATGAGAAACTTTCCTTTGTCCCGGCCTCTCAGTTATTCAGCTTATATCAAAATACTTGGATGGACGCATCTCTCCTTTGATTTCCCAAGGCAGAGGTCATTCTGCAGGCATCTCAAAGGATATGGTAGTAGTTCTTCCTGTGAAGCCACCAAATATTCAGGCAGAAAAATATAATATACTCCAAACCTAGACTAAGTAATATATTTACATGTAGATGTATAATGAAGCCAGTTAAAGTGAGTTTCTCAAGTAAGATTAAACAAATAGTAGATTAAACAAGATTCTACTCTGGTCTTTCAGAAACCCAAATGGATGTGTCTGATAGTGAGTACTGCATTAGCTAGAAACACCCACTCTATTCAGAGGCTCAACAATAAAATTATCACTCATTTACATTGTTGATATTTTCCCCTTTGGGATGCACTAGCATTGTGATATTCAAAGCTTTTATTATTTTGTGGAAAAGCACTAAATTTTGATCTCTTGTTTGTCTGGTAGACAAACATAAAATCAGTGCTATAAAGTTGTGTGGGCAGAGATAATAAATCGGGGTAAAATGAATCTTTATATTTCTTAGCAATACTCTTCTTTCATATGCTCATAAATGATCAGCTGTATAAATCTTTTATTATAGGAGAATTGAACTCAATTACTACAGATTCGTTGGCAATACATTAGCTGTAGGCTGCGTTTTATTTATTTGTGTATCCTTCATTGCACTGTCTAACATCTTGCCAAATAAAGGTTTGCTGACTCCATAAGAAATTAAGGATGTTATCTGACACATTCGCAGTGCTTCTTAGGATTCCCTTATAGTCACATTCTATAATAGGGCTCTAGATATTTTTAAACATGCTATTAGTACAAGGGGTCTACCAAAATCCATATTACAACAAGGTTTGCAAACATCTCCCTAAACTGCCTTGATTTGGAGGAGGGAAAGTCCAACCTATGTGCTCAAGTGTGTGTGATTCTTGTCTCCTTACAGGGGGAGGCATGCATCATGGGAGCAAAAAGAATATATAAGAAACGGAAATCAGAGCGGAAATGTATGCAAGGAAAATATGCAGGAGCTATGGAATCTGAACCCTGTGTCTGCACAGAGGCTGATTTTGACTGGTGAGTTTGTTTAGTTATCACATTATCATATGGAGTTATTCAGTATATCAAACCCATATGGACCTTAGTGAGAGCTTAGATTTGATATATTAGTAACATACAGAATGCTAAGTGGCAAGTCTACATTCTTATTAAATTGCCTTATTGGAGACATCATGATTTACTAGCTATATGCATGTGTATCTAGGAAGATAAAAAAGAGTTTTTGTAGACTGAAAGAGAATTCTGATGATGGCTGGAAATTGTCTTCATGTAACTGATAGATTCCTAGGACAAAAAGAGAGACCAGATCCATCTTGCACTGCTTCAAACAGCAATATTGAAAACAATGAGTGGCCCTTTCAAGGAGCAAACATGTTTGTGCTCTAGGTGAAACTCTTCTATAATCTGGAATTCCCAGTAATGGAACTATGGCCTTTTTAGGTAGTACATTTTCTGTCCCTGGGAGTTTTTTTTTTTTGTTTTGATTTTTTTTTTTAATTTTAAAAATGTGGGGTTGAATACAGCGCATAATATCTGTGGAAGACATTTCCGAACTTAGATGGATTTAATGTCATTGCAAATCTATATTTCTGTGAATCTAGTGATAAAGGAGGCTTTTGACTTTACCAGAATTAAAACAGTTTAAGCTGGAGAATACTGAGACATTTGGAGGTTAAACTAAACACAGAGTGTCATAGAATGCTTCCTGGAACATTTGCTAAGTAGAAAAGTTAGCTTGTGGGGACACTGATGCCCTTGCCTTGTCCTCAGTCTGTGTTTAGTGTTCAGGTGAGCTGACAAATTATTGAGGAAAAGTAGGTGGTAACTCCCTTCATAATCTCCATCTCATTTTCTGTTGCTTTGTTCCCTATCTTCTTTTTTTTTGTTTTCTTTATTTATATGTTTTTAGTTTAGAGAAATCAATTGCTAAATGTATACTTACATGTTCTGGAACTGAAACTTAACCTGCATAAGAGCTAAAGTCAAAGAATAGCAATTTATTTCTAACTGTGTAGTAATCACAGGTCCCATACTGGATCATCAAAATATCAATGATTGGACTAAGATAATATGTACTTATACATCGCATATCTTAGAAAAAGTAAATTTTCTTTCATGGTAGACCTCTGAAGATGTTCTTTGAATAAATAAAATAAGAAGACCTAGCAAAACTGGCCACCAGCAGTCAGACGAATAACCCATGGCTGTTTCCCCTTAATTGATGGACAAACCAAGTCAAGAGCCAATCCTGTATCTCCCTGGGCTGAGTCAGAAGACAACAGGGCTTCATTTACATTTGAGCTCAGGAGGAATTCAGCAGGGGCCTTTCCAATCATGACTTCTGTTTAAGTCAGTGCAACATTACTCTATTACGATGACAAAAATCTCATATCTCTATCCTACTCTTCCCTACTCTTTGGTACCGACACCCTGAAGAGCATTCACAGGGAAAACAACCATGAGATTTTAAGCCATTTATCACATTCCTCTTTCTGAAGCCTGGCTACTTCTTCATTCACTCTGTTGAAGAAGGGTTTGCAAAGGAAGTTAGCATTTTACATTAGTGGTGTAGCTTTGCCTAACAAAAACAGTTATTCTTTTTACAGAGAGCAAATTTATTCTCTAATAGAAAACCAAAGAGAAAATATAATGTGAGATATCCCAATTTTCTGGTTTCTCCTGGAAACACATGCATCTTTGGGAATCTTTTCTACAACACTCCAAAATAAGCCGGGGCTTGGTAGTGGGGGTGATTGTTGTTATGGTCATCATTATTTTCTTTTTCAATTGTAAGCTAGTCTAGAATGAAGGAAACAATTGGGATTCTCTCCTCCTCAACCTTTCACACCTCTCAGTGTTAGCCCAATCTTTGTGGCTGGAATCCTTTACTCATCCCACCAGCTGAAATGCATTCTGAGAAGAGGGAAGTGTATCATGAACAAGGTCACACTGACTGTGAGATTTTTTTGTTTGTTTGTGTGTTTGTTTTGTCAAATGGGACTTTTGAAGCTGCTTGATTTCTGAAAATATTTTAGAAGGCTCACAATGACGGTGTTAAGTTTCTTTTTTTTAATTTTTAATTTTAAAGATGTGGGATACAATTCAGGGTTAGATGTACAAATGTTCATTATGCAGGTATCCTTGTGGACCCCCCCACTCTTCTGGCAGTTTCCCACTACTGCCAATCCCATCTTCCCCTCCCCTGGCAGTTTCCCAATACTGCCATTCCCTTTCTTACAGTATTATGATAATTGTTTAAGGCCTGCTTATGAGTGAGAACATGTGGTACTCAATTCTTTGTTTCTGTGATAGCTCACTCAGTAGTATAGACTCTAAGTCCATACAAGCTGCTGCAAAGTTCATATTTTGCACTTCTTTATGACTACATAATATTCTATCATGTATATGTACCACATTTTTTTAATCCAGTCCTCTTTCAGTGGGCAGCATGGTTGGTTCCATGTTTTTGCTATTGTGAACAATGCTGCAATAAACATGCATGCACAGATATCTATTTCATAGAGTGATTTGAGTTCCCCCAGGTAGAGTCCCAGAAGGGAGATTGTGGGATCCTATGGAAGGTTGAGTTTTAGATCTTTTAGAAGTTGCCAAACTATTTTCCACAGAGGCTGTACTAGTAGACACTCCCACCAATAGTATAGAAGTATTCCTTTTTCTCATATCCTCTCCAGCATCTGTTGTGTTTTGAGTTATTGATGATGGCCATTCTGAATGGAATTAGGTGGTATCTCAGTGTGGTTTTAGTTTGCATTTCTTTTATGACTAGTGCGGCTGAGCATTTTTTCATGTACCTGTTGGCTGCTTGTATGTCTTCTTTTGAAAAGTGTCTATTCATGTCTTCTGCCCACTTTGTAATGGGGCTGTTTGTTTTTTTTTTTTCTTTTTGGCACATTTGAGTTCCTTGTAGAACCTAGATGTTAGGCATTTGTCAGATATACAGATGGCAAATATTTTTGTCCCAGTCTATGGGCTGTTTCCCCACTCTCTTGATGGTTTCTTTGACTTTGCAGAAACTTGTCAGTTTAATGAGGTCTCACTTGTCTATCTTATCTCTTAATGGCATGGACACTTGGGGTTTTGATCAGGAATTGATGCCATAAGGATGTCATCTGCATTTTCTAAGATTCTTATAGTTTGAGGTTTTATGTTTAGGTCTTTGATCCATTTAGAGTTGATTTCTGTGTATGATGATAGGTAGGAGTCTTGTTTCAATCTTCTGTATGTGGTCAGTCAGTTTTCTTAGCACCATTTACTGAACAGATTCTCCTCTACCCAGTGGTTGGTGATGGAGGCTTTGTCAAAGAAGAGTTGGTTGAAAAATTGAGGTTTTGCTTCCAGAATCTCTATCTTGTTCCCTTGGTCTATATGCCTGCTCTTGTATCAATATTAGACTGTTTTGATTATTGTAGCCTTATAATAAAGTTTAAAGTCTGGGAGTGTGACACCTACCACTTTGTTTTTTTGCTGAGTTTCTACCAGTAGCTGGAGTTTCAGTGATTCCACATGGCTGTGGTGTAATGAATGGTGATTGTCACTGTGTGCTCCCTCTTGGCTTGGGTCTTCCCTGGACATTCCCCCAGATAACCCTGGCTGTCATTCTCTAGCATTTATGAAGTAATTTCCTGAACTGAACACTGGGTGTCCTGTAGGCAGCAATTCTGAAGTCTTCCTACCTGTGCTCTGTTGAACCAGCATCACATCCAGCTGGCATGTGCAGAATTCTAAGTATCAGCTGCCTAGTGACAGGCCCGAGAGCTAAGCCTGTTTCTCCCTTTCTGACCTTTGTGTACCAGTATCTCACCTCCATTACACAGATGGGCCAGTTCATACTAATGCTTGCTGATTGCTGCCTGTGATTTGTCTGTGCATGTGGAGATGCAATTTGTCATCATTCTCTGTGCCCAGGTTCATCTGCCAGAAAGCCAAGAAAATGAGGCAACTCAGAGACTCTTGAAGGCATGAATCAGAGGAGACTGAGAGGGAAGTCTCTGACTATATCCAGAGTAGAGAGAGGATTTAAAGCAGTCAGTCCTAACTGGCAACACAAACTGCCTAGGACAAAACTTTTCCTTAGAGGAATTTTGGAGACACTCCTGAAGGACATTTCCTTTTGGCTGTGACTTTGAAACATATGGCTTGTGCACAGAGAGACCTGGCTCAGCTCTACTTGCTAGATCCAGATGTCTTGGAAGAGCATCCCAAAGACATCATCAAAAATGAGGATTGTGCCACATGTGGCTGTATTAGACTCTGAAATGAAGTTCTCATTGAGAGTTGAGTTTCCACTGCTGCCTGTTTTCTCATTACAGCTTTCTCTGAGCTCAACCACATCAATGTTGTGTATGCTTCTCATGAAAACACAGTCTACTCTCTCCACTTGAAAGTGTTTAAATGGAATTATTGGCTGTATAGAATATTTTCATGAATCACTGACAGAAACTCTATGAAAAATGTTCTAGCTATGAGAAGGCATTGATTAAGGGAATGTTTGTTTTTTAACTAATTGGTTAGAGTGGAAGTTGGTTTTGAACTGACATGGAATTATTTTCAGTAATTTTGACACTTACTGAAAAGATTTTCTTGGCTCTTCCCCCAACAGCGACTATGGCTATGAGCGACACAGTAATGGCCAGTGCCTGCCGGCATTTTGGTTCAATCCATCCTCTCTGTCAAAGGATTGCAGCTTGGGACAAAGTTACCTCAACAGTACTGGGTAAGTGTCTGAACTAGTGACCTTGAGAGTTCAGTCTTTACTGCTTTTGAGTATGTGTCATACTGACAGAATTTCTTCTGATCAAAGACCAGGCTTATTTCCTTATAGCATAATATAACTGCTTTTGTTTATTTTATTTATTTATTTATTTAGAGTTGGAGTCTCACTCTGTCGCCCAGACTGGAGTGCAG